CCTAAACCCCAAACCCCTAAACCCTAAACCCCAGACCCCAAACCCCTAAACCCCAAACCCCAAACCCAAACCCCTGAACCCTAAACCCTAAACCCTAAACCCGAAAACCCTGAACCCTAAACCCGAGGTGGTGCTTCACCGCCTGGGTCGCCTCCGGGAGGCTGCCGAGGAGCAAGCCAAGCTGGTTTCCCTGCTCGAGGAGACGACCAGGGTTTAGGGTTTAGGGTTTTCTGGTGCTGTGAGATAGGGCCGTAATGGTTAGAACGAGAGGTTGGGGGCCTGGGGCAAAATTTTTATCCTCAGTGCAGAGGGACTATAGAGGACTGTGGTTAGTTTCGAGTATGAGCGTTCAGGTTTCAGGGCTTACATCTCGAAAGGAAGGGATTTGGCATCAGAACCAGCCGCACTGTGGGCGCAGGAAACTCGAGGCAGAGACGATGTCCAGACTCGATGCTCAGCGCTTTTCGGTGCACGATCGCGGGTAGTTGTCACTGTTGTCACAGCAAGGGAGGCAAGGAGGCAAGGGTCCTAAACCCAAACCCATCCTAAACCCGAAACCCTTAAACATCTAAACCCACAACCCCTAAACCCCTAAACCCTTTAAACTGTATGCATCCAAGGACGGGCCGCTTCCTTCCTGGAGTTGTTGCAAGGGCCAGGAAGGGGTCAGAAGCGAGGGTTTGAGGACCGGAAAAAGAACGGCGAGCTCCGGTTGAGGACGGACATTCTTGTTCCGAATGCATGAGTCGGGGGGCTTCAATACCTAGAAGAGGGCTTGGGGATACGTTTTGCTATGCTTATGTAGGGACTGCAAGTTTTTTTTAGGATTCAGTGATTATGGATCTCCGCCCGCCTTGTGGGCAGCAGCCTTTGGCTCATTCTGCTGAGGGCCGAAGCCACGGTCATTTAGCCGGGGGGCCACGTCGTTCCCTCACTGCCGCATCGCGCCACGCCTTTAATCTTGGCCTTAAGCCCTGAATTACCAACGCCATGATTCGCAGCCGGCTAGCTGCTGCGAAGCGCATCGGATTCGTCGGCCTCGGCAGCATGGGCAGCGGCTCCATGGAAGCAGTCAGAGAAAAGAATCCTAGAGCAATTGGACAGGTTAACATAATTTTGTTTTATGGGCTCATGTATGTTTGCGTCTAAGTGTGCATGTATGCCTTCTTGTATGCAACGACCATCAATGACCATTTGATGATTGGTTGTTTCGCGTGTGTCGGGCAGTTCGTCTAACCATCCGCGGATGTGTCAAGTTCTCCTTACATTGCATTCTTGCAGCTGAATCTGTCATTATATGCTGACCGGCTCACATGGTGGTGTTCTTGTATCTATCTGTGTCTTTACAGCTCGATATCCGCTGCCATGTACATGCATGCCTGCACGTACATATCACTAGAGAGAGAGAGAGAGAGAGAGAGAGAGAGAGAGCCCAACCCATCCCTCGACATGATGGATGGGGCAACGCAAACGCGCGCGTCGCGAGGACGGCTCGCGTTCTAAGCCCTCAGCAAAGCAAAGTGCGAGCGGGATGGGGGTCAGGGACAGACAACGCCGGAGCTAAAACAAAGCCCAAGCCCTCAAGAAAGCTTGAATCCTGAAGCCTGAAGCCTGAAGTAGACGTTCTCAAAGCCCGCAAGCCTAGCAACGAGGCATGGCTGCCAACCTAGTGGCGAAACTTGCAGCTGGCAAGCCGGAGGTGCATCGCGTTTAGACTGCAGGGACTTCAGTTTTTATGGTTTAGGAGTCTAAGGGCAGTCATGCTGGATAGAGAGGTTGGAGTGGCAAGTTTTCAAGTCGATGATCTTATTCAGGCTTGCAGCTACTGTCTCATGACAAAGCATGTCTGTCACATTGATGTCCTGGTGGATCCCATTGTTCAGTACTGTGTGCTGTTGGAGCTGCCAAACGTGGTCAGGGAGGTTTGGCTTCAACACTCGGTGGTCGTTACGTGGAGTGCCTATCGTAGGGAGTGGAGCGATTGTGTGCTGGCTTTTTTGGGCCTCGGCTGAAGAACGGCAGAAGAGGCAATGCTGGCAGACATGTGCGGCTTCACAAGGGACTTCAGGGTTCGGGATAGGGCTTTGGGGTGTCAGGTGTATGGACTGTACGGATGCCCGATATCTTCGGTGAATGAGGCTCTTCCAGGGTTTCACACTTGAGTGGATTGTTTTTTTCGATGTCCAGGCTTTTCCACGCGTGTCAAAAGTTTCGGGGTCTTTGATTCTGGGCAAAAACAGCTGATCTTGCCCCCCCCCCCCCCACGCTATTCTCATCTGTACTGCTCTTGCCACGATTATTGCTGGTGCTAGTTGCTCTTCGACACCTCCTTCTTACTAGCAATCGTTTGGTGCACTGATGGTCATTAGGTTTCCGTACTTTGTCTCTTGAGCCTCGGATAAGCTCAGGAAATGAGAACCCTGCCCCATCACAGAAAGGCACAAGGAGGGTCTCGACAAGGCCGATAACGACAGTGTCGGAGCCACGCGAGCTTAGCTGCTAACTCCAAGTTCAGCGGATAACAAGTGCTGATCAAGACCAAGGCTGATCGCCAGTCGCTGCCTAGCTGCTTGCAGCAGTCGAAACAGCTGGCAAGACGAAGCGTAGATGCACACCGAATCCTCACCAAGAGTGAGAGGTTAATACACAGAGTGCGTTCCGGAGCCCTAAATGCTAAACCCCGAAGCCTTAGAGCCTTAAGCCCTAAGCCCTTACAATATTATAGAAGATCCAGAAACCTACGGCCCCAACCCTAAACCCTAAACCCTAAACGCTAAACCCTAAACCCTCAACCCCATGCAGGGCCAGGCCCTCCTCTTTGATCGCTCCGGTGTGGCCGTCCAGCGCGTGGTGGCTGAGGCCGCGGCGGTGGCCGAGGCAGCTGTTGGAGTCTTTGGCTGCAGTGCAAGGGGTGTGGGTGGGGTGGGACTGCAGTGGAGATTTGGGTTCAGGAAAGAATCTCGAGAATGATCAAACAGCACAAAAGAGCACTAGATGTGACAGCCGGAGTTATTTAACACGCAACCCAAGAACCAAAGCAAAGTTCTGGACCCAGACCTGCCCCAATTGGCGGCGAAGTGCGACATTGTGTTCCTCTGCCTGCCTGAGGTGGGGGCGGAAGTGGACCTGGAGTGATTTTTGCATGGATGTGGTTTGGGTTTTTGTTACTGTAGCACTACGGAGAAGGGGCTTGTTAATCAGGAATCCTTGCAGCATCCTCACCTTACCTCGTGATTGTAGCGGTCGCATGAATCAGTGCATGAATTATGATTTAGGGGGACCCC